TCATCCCCCCCCCCCCCCCACCCCCACATACACACACACTCGTACTGCCATCCAGCCGGGTCACCATCTGTCTTCCAGCAAGGGCATACTAAACCAATGCCAACCATAAGGACCAGGAATTCTACCCAAGCCCACACCACCCTGACGTCACAGAATGTATTGGGTCCCTGGGGCAGCCTCCCACTGTACCTCTCAGAGACTTGGGAATGCTTGGTCTGTGGCTCAGCTCTGCTGGACTGGCTGTCATCTCGTTCTTGGCCTAACCCCTGGGCCTGTACACAAGAAGTCAGGGAGAAATGCATTAGAGGGCTATGCACTGTGAGGGTCTCTTATCCTGAATCAGACACGCAGGATAGGGGCACTATGGTACGTCTGGAGAGGCCAGGACACTGAGACACAGAACATGTCTGTCTACTGTAGAATGCAGTTTTCTAAGCTCTGGCTAAGTCCCTGGCCCACAGCTGGAACAGGAGACAAATAAATATAGTCACTACGCACACAACCAGGAGCCAGAGGTGGGGGTGGGGAGGACCCAAGAGCCTAGCCCGCTGCCTAGAGCCGGAACTGCTAGCTCCAAGAAGAAAGCAAGGATCTCCATGGACACCCAAATTCAACGAGGCCTGGCTCATCAGGGCTGGTGGTATAGGGGTGCCAAAATAAAATAGGCTGACCAAAGGCAGTGGGCAAGCACACCAGAAAGGAAGGAATTCTGAAGCACCAGAATTTAGGTGGGAGAAGGGAGGCTATGCCCCAAACTGGAGGGTCCCTGACTCTGGGGGAGGGCAGAGGCTTTCCTTCAACTCCTCCATTCTAGGACACGAGCTCCATCAGGAGACAATGAGCCCCCTGCCCCACAGTCTGCTATTACAGCATCTGTTTGAAAATAAACTCTCAGACGCTCAAATCTTATTTTACATCTTGGGTATCTAGGCAAATTTAGCAAGTTGGTTCCAAAAAAAAAAAAAAGGGCAATTTCTGATGATTTCAAATATTTCCTAAAGAAATGCAGTGGTAATGTGTCAGTTTGGGATCCACTCTTTGTTCCAGAACGTCCTGCCTCAAGCGACTATAACATGGTAAAGCTTGGCTGGTAAAGCTTGGCTCCCAGGTAAGGGTGAAATGTCCTACACATGAACCTAATTTCTGCCAAGGAAGCCAGGCCACAACACCAGTTCCTGCTCTCCCATCTTCTCCCTCAGCCAAGAAAAGCTCTGTGACAGCCCCACTCTAGGGCTGGCCCTCCTGTCAGGAGCAGTGTCTGCTCTGGGACTCAGAGGTCACTGGGAGAGGTAGGGAAGGACAGACCACTCTGACTTCCCCAGTGGGGTCCCAACCCTCTGCACCCCTCACACGCCTTCTCCTCTGGCAGCCTGAACCAGAATTTGATCTGACTGACATCTGGGTAGGAAAGGAAGGGCAAGGCTTGCATGAAAACCCAGCTCCCCCAAATTACATGAAAACTAGCAATGCCACCTGTGAGTACCTTTCAGAGCCTGAAGCAGAAGGGCTCCCTGCCAAGGCTGCCACTCTTCATTGCATTGGCCTGGGCAGAGCCTGCACACAGTGACAGGCAAGCACACCCTCCCCAGCCCAAATCAGTCCCCTCTAGTGTTCCGCTTACCACGAATCTTCCCTGCAAACCACCCGTGTGCAATCATCCTCTTGCTCTCACTTTTTCAAAGAAAAAAGGATCACACAGACCAACTGCACATCACAAACTAAAATCTAAGTAACAAAACAGGTAACTGCAATAAAAGCTCAAAAGGAGCCCAAGGCCACAAAGAACTCCGGGACCGTGAGGCTACAGAAGCACACTGGAGCTGGCCACAGACCACATCATTCTGTCTGCCCCCTTCTTGCTTCACGTCCTGTACTTCTGCAACAAATCGAAGCAGCTTCCTGACAGAGAAGGGATAACCTGGGGAAAGCCGGACAGTGGGCCTTCAGGAGAGTTTTACTTTTCCCTAGGGCTTTTGCCCCAGAAAAGGAAGAGGACCCCAACAGGGGACGGACATGGTAGCACTCTCGGAAAGCAGAGCAAAACAAGCATTTAGCAAGGCTAAGCCTCTAAACCAACACTTCTCAGGACCCCAGGACCCCAGCCTTACCTAAGCCCCTGAGTTTTGTTTTTAAGATCTAGTCCCAAGGTGGAAGCAGGAGGATTGCAAGTCTAAGACAAGCCTGAGTAGCTTACATGGTTTTATTTCTGTAAGGGCAGGGACCAGGGTGCTGAGACAGCTAAGTGGTATAAGTCATCTAGCATATACAAAGCCCCATATTCAATGCCCAGCAATGACAGTGATGATAGCTTCAAAGGAATACATATGGCAAAATGTATCAAATTTTTCCCTGTAGATGTGCAGTTTATTATACGTCACTGACATCTGAAGCTGTATTGTTTTCTTCCGGTGCTGGGGATGGAATCAGGGTTTCACATGTGCTAGGTAAGTGCTCTACCACCAAGCCACGTCCCTAGTCCTCAAAATAATTCGGAGATGGACACAACTTAAGGTAGTGTAATTCTAAAGCCCTCCCTGTTCCTAGCCTTGGGAAAGATGAGAGCAGGGGAAATAGGGCTAGAGCCCCAGAGGACCACAGAGAAGACTGCACCTATGGTTCTGTCCATGCTGGGAAGCGGCTGCAGCTCCATTCTTCCACACCCTGAGAACAGGAGGCAGCTACAGACTGGGCCCTGCCGGACGCACTGCCAGCCAGTCAGCCAGGGTATCTAGTAACACCCGCAATCCAACATGACAGCTGAAGTATGAACTAGACCTTCCTCTGTCGGACTGGTTGCCAGCAGGTAGTAGCTGCTGAGAACTAAAACCAAGCCAATCCCTGACCCTGATCTATACCAAATGGGAGCAGCCAGAAGGACTACTGGTCTCATTAGGGCTCAAGTGAGCCCAGAAATCTTCTGTAAAGCTCCCAAGTAAGTCAGGTAGCATGGAGGCTTTGGAACACAGTGGCTGAACCCACCCTGCCCTATGGAGCTAGCAGCTTTCCTACCCACTTGTTATCAGAGGAGCCTGACAGTGCACCTGCTCCAAGCCCTCCCCACCTAACCCTACCTGCCCTTCTCCATGCCTTCGTATCCGCAGCACTGCAAACAGGGGATACCCAAAGTCTAGCAGAGACCTGGTAACTGGGTAGCCACCCAGGGAGGCACCAGTCAGACCCGAGAGGAGCATGTGGGGGCTCAATTGCAGTCTGAAAACACTACCTTGTATGCACCAGAACATGCTAGGACAAACACACCAGCACACACCAGGCTGGGTTCCTATTAAGCATCCTCTTGCTTTACCCAATATATTCCCAGCCACTCAAACCAGTTGCTCCCTAAAACCTGTGAGACCACGTGCCAGAATCCCTCTTCTAGAAGCCCACAAAAGAGAAAAACGGCTGCCCTGAATTAAGCCCCTTGTAGGGCAGCATCTGTGTTTCAGACACCTCTGTATCTTCCTGAGTAGAGACCGGCTTCCATAGCAGAGAGAGGGGACACGTCACCTCCTCCAAGCAGGCACCAGCACTGGGCCTTAGAGCATAAAGAAGAGAATGCAGGGGCCAAGGGGAAAGCAGCAAGGCTGGCAGAGCAGTCACAAGGTGCAGCGTGTGCAGACGGCTAAGGCGAGTTGTAGACCCAGCTGCTAGGTGGCAAAGCCGGAAGGGATGGGTGGGCAGGTGGTTAACTCTCGGCTGCTATATGAATGAATGAATGAATGGACCCGTGGCAGGGCAGGAATGTCTCAATGCAGCGGCAAAGCAGTCATGGCCAGAAGCCCCACCAGAGGAAAGTGTCTGGAGAGAGAGGATGTCCAAAGTCCACACTAGTGGGTAGGAATCTTTATGGGTCACCCCTAAAAGTAGCTACCAGAGAAAGTGAGGCCCTAGCCTAGCCCCCCCAGACTCACCTCCAGGTGGGATCTACCCAAGACCGGAGAAAGCATGTCACCATCCAGCAGGTGCTCTGAGATCTGATTGCGACATCCAAAGTCCTAGAGATGGTGCAGATGAGAAAATCAGCTTTGCCCTTGTCAGGGAGAGTGCCCGCCAGCCTCTCAGGAAGGTGTGCACTGTGTCTAGGCACCGAGCTCAGCACTGGGATACCTAATTAGGTTCTCAAAGCAGGCAAGAGGATAAGGGAAACAGAAGCAAGCATTCCCTGTAGACAAGAAGTGGAGAGTGTGAAGATTTACTGTAGAAGTCCTCTGATTTTTCTATATATTGGGTATTTTCATAGTATAATTATAGACAAAAACAACCCTACAAGACTGAAATGCTTATGCCCTCATGAATGCAGCTACGGGGTACAGAGGACATGAAATTCGGCCCAGGACAAAAAGCTGGCAAGAAGGGGGCTGCAGGTCAGATGAGCCCCGGGCCTGCCTCTCCTATGACACATGTTGTACCGCATGGCTGTCACAGCTGTCTCTTCCTCCCCAACCATCCCATCCCCAAGCAGGGCAGGAGAAGGTCAGCAAACCCAAACCCCCGAGTGAGGTTGGGTGGGCTCCTTCCAGCTCTCTCCTTCCTTCTTTACACAGAGGTGGCCCTCTTTCTCTAGGCAATGGGATTCATTAGCATTGTCCAGAGTACTCTTGGGGACATGCGGCAGGTGCCCACACCAAGCCCGATTCCTCACTGCCCTTTGGTTGCCACAGGACCACACCACACCCCTTCTGAGCCAAAGATCCTGCTGGGCTAAGTGAAGGACTGCTATCCACAATATTCAAATGGGGACAGTTCTGTCATCCCTGATGGATGGGGGGATGCCCAGAAAAGGTCTGGTCCTGCTGTTTCCAGCTGACGGGCACAGCAGCACACGGTGGCAGCTTTGGAGAGACCAGACCACTTGTTTCCAAGAGTTCAGTGAAACAGGTATCCATCACTGTCAAGTGTTTAGTTGGTTAAGTAGGCTTTTTGTTGCTTTGTTTTGGGATTTAGATGGGTTTTGTTTTGTTCGGGTTTTGCCAACAATGGATTTTGTTTTTGTGGGGTTTTGTTTTGGTTTTAAGTATTTGTTTTGATTTTTTTTTAACCTTTCTAGTTTGTGGGGTTTTCTTGGATTTTGATCTTTTCCCTTCAGTTTGATTTCTACTTCTATCTAATGCAGCTGCCATCTGCTTCTGAAGCCTGTGGCTCAGTGTGGGGCCACAGAGCTCAGCTGTCTAACTCTTCTGCACCCCTCCTGTCTGCTCATCCCTGACCCTCTTCCACTAATCCCTTCCCTTATAGCTGCCTCCTCCGAGCAGATGGAGGGGGACATGCAGAGGTACCAGTGGGCCAAAAGTAGCCGAATCTCCCCTTTAAGAATCAGACTTGGCAAATGGACTTGAGATCCAGCAGGCTGGATGAAGGTCCGGGACACAGAAATCATGGATGGCCTGGCAGTTCAAGACAAAAGCCTTAACTTTCTAATTAAACCCTGGCCAAAGCCTAGCAGCCAGTCCTGGAGTCTCCTGGATATAACTGTCCTGCTAGGCCACAGGCAGCTCACACAACAGTGAGAGCACTGGCACCAGCACTCCACAGTTTATGCTCTGCCTCACTCCATTCCCACACAAGCTGTAGTGGGCAGTGCTACCCCTGGTTACTGAGTTGAGAAACTAGAACTAGGCCGGGCAATGGTGGCACACGCCTTTAATCCCAGCACTCGGGAGGCAGAGGCAGGCGGATCTCTGTGAGTTCAATGCCAGCCTGGTCTAAGAGCTAGTTCAAGGACAGACTCCAAAGCTACATAGAGAAACCCTGTCTCAAAAAAGAGAGAGAAAACAAGACCTAATTTTGAGCCATGTGGCTAACATAGATAAAAATAATGGGTTAATATAAGTTATAAGCGCTAATACGAAGCCTGAGCTAGTGGGCCAATCAGTTTATAACTCATGGAGATCTCTGTGTGATTTTCTTTGGGACTTGCTGGCTGTGGGGTACCGGGTGGGACAGAAACCCCAACAAGCCCGGCCCTCGTGTTACATAACTTTGAGGGTTAACTGTCCCACTTCCCAGCTGTGTGACCACTGGTAAACTATATTTCCGAGGGAAAAGAAACACCAGGCTCTCTCATTCTGCCCCACTGCAGCTCACTGCAACTCACCAGACCAAGGAAAGACTTAGAAACAGAAGCTTCGGTCTCTGAGAGTTGTGGGTCCTTCAAGTGTTCAAGAATCTCTGACTCCTGCAGGAACACATGACATAGAAACACCCCCCAAGTTCAGGGATGCTATCCATGAATTCCCAGTTGGCCCATAGGGCCAACATAGGTCTAAGCCCAAGCCAAAAATCTACCCATTTTGAAAACTAACAGCCATAAGCACCAATACAAGAACCGGGCTAAGTGCTGATGCTGATAGTGGACAACCACCCCCAAAATCAGAGTGGGATTAACAGGAAAGGGGAGCTAAGAATAGTGAAGACAGGAAGCCATCAGTAGAGATGTTTGACGCTATCTGAAAAAATAAAAGTATATCTTAATGAGTATGCACACTCATGTGCGTGCATGTGCGTGTGTGCATGCACGTGAGTAAAAGCCATAGGTCAGCTTCGATCAGGGTGTTGCCCTTCATGATGTTCATCCATTTTGTTTTGGGAACGGAATCTTTCACTGGCCCGAAGTCTGCTTGATGAAGCTAAGCCGGCTGGCCAGTGAGAGTGAGCTCCAGGGATCCATCTATCTCCCCGTCCCTAGCGCTGGGATTATAAAATGCTCATCACTACACCTGGCTTTTAAGATAGATTCTGGGGGTCAGAGTCAGATCTTCATGTTGTTCAGCAAGCACTTTATGGACTAAGCCATCTCACCAGTTCTGGAAGTGTCTTTTCCAGGACTTAGATACATTAGATACAAGCTCTTTAAATAAATTCCCTCGCTGTCTAAATGAGGAAAAGCTATAATGTCAAAGGGGCTCTCTCTCTCTCTCCACACACACACACACACACACACACAGAGAGAGAGAGAGAGAGAGAGAGAGAGAGAGAGAGAGAGAGAGAGAGAAACCTACTTCTAACCACATTGATTATTGAGCAATTTTATGACTGCAACCACCTGCATGTTTGGGCCTGGTACAATTGTCATAGAAATGGATGAGAAGAGCCATTCTGCTGGTGCACAACACTCAGCTCTAGCAGCCTCACCCCCACCCCAACACACACACACACACACACACATACACACCCCTACCCTTCTTTGTAGGAACTCAGACTGCAGCAAACCAAGACAACACATAGGCGGGGAGAGGTAATGAGGAGGAACAAAGAGCGTGGATCTCCCAGGAGGGGCCAATGGAAAAGCACATTTCTGCTCTGAATTCCCAGGACCAGCAGGTTTGCCGTTTCATTCAGGAATTTACTTCCTGCTGGATCTGGGCATATTTGTCACAATTAAGGGCTCTGGCTGATGTTGACAGCTGGATTCAGCGCCTGACTGCCTGACTCGGTAATACAGACATGGAGGCAGGAAGCTGTAAGGAGCTGGAGAGAGCAGCAGCAGGTTCCAGCTGACAACTGCTTGGGACCAAGGGACTTACCTCAATGGCATCTGATGTGTTCTCCTCTAGGGCAGAAGTTTCCTTGGCTGCCCCTTCCCTCCTGGAACCCTCCTCTTCTGCCTCCACTATGTCCTCTGCCTGCTCCTTTTGCGAGTCCTTCACAGGGTGATCACCCCCAGGGCCCAATCCAGGAGCCACCTGACTAGCAGAAATCTTGGGATTCTCATTTTCCTTCTGTGTGCTCTGGGGACTTGCCCCTCTTCCCCGGGATCTGCTGCCATCAACACTGCCAAGACTGCTGTCAGCTCCCTGGCTGAACAGCTTGCCAGGAGTAGGGGGCCGATCAGCATCTGAGCTGAGAGAAACATCCTTCTTGTCCACTGGCTGGCTGGATCTTGGAGACTCCTGAGGAGTGAAGAGAATGTCAGAAAAGTAGCCAAGAAGGTTAGAGACTGACACAAGACGGAGTGCCATTCTCTGACTCTCAGGTAGCCTTTGTGAGCTCTGACCCTGTTATCCTACATAGCTCTGTGTGTCTGTGTGTGTCTGTGTGTGTGTGTGTGTGTGTTTATGCCAATCTGTGTCTGTGTCTGTCTATGTAAGTGTACGCACTGCACGTGTATGAACTTGCATATGGAAACCAGAGGTCAACATCAGTTGTCTTCTTCAGTTGCTGAGACATGGCACCTCACTGAATCCGGAGCTCACCGATTTGGTCAGACTAACTAGCCAGCATGCTCCCACCTGTCTCTTTGCTAACACCATTAGGGTTATCGACGTATGCTGACATGCCTGGATTTTTAAATGAGTGCTAGGTATCAGAACGCATGTCTGAGGGCTGGAGAGATGGCTCAGTGGTTAAGAGCATTGCCTGCTCTTCCAAAAGTCCTGAGTTCAATTCCCACCAACCACATGGTGGCTCACAACCATCTGTAATGAGTCTGGTGCCCTCTTCTGGCCTGCAGACATACACACAGACAGAATATTGTATACATAATAAATAAATAAATATTTAAAAAAAAAAACAGAACACACGTCTGCATCCTTGCACGGCGAGCACTTTACCCACTGAGCCTTCTCCCCATTCCTCCCATACAGCTTTTCTTTTCATGTTTTAAGTACGTGTGCATATGTAGGCATGTGCATGCGAGTGCAGGTGTCTAGAGAAGCACTGGATCCTACTGGAACTAGAATTATGAAAAGTTGTGAACTACCCAATATAGGTACAGGGAACCGAACTCAGGTCTTCTGCAAAAGCAGTATGTGCTCTTAACCACCGTGAGCCATCTCTTCAGTTGCCCAAATAGTTTTGCAAAAACACAGATTGCTGCCCCTTGACCCACATCCAGATAAACTGAATGGTAATTTGTATGATGGTACAAACACATCAAACTGGGCTTAGAAATTACTGCAACTCTGCCTTCATCTAGCACACCCCTCAGCCCCGTCAGTCGGACCCTGAGACCTTGGGAGCCAATATTTACTCAAAATGATGATAATAGCAAAAACAAGAGCTTTTACTTTTCATTCATTTTTCAAAGACAGAAAGGGAAAAATATGAGGAGGGTACCCCTCCTTTCCAAGTCTCCCTACACAAGCTGGTCACCAGCAACCCCACAGACCTGGGGTCTCTGAGAAGCAGATGTCTAGATGGGATTAGTTGGGTAAGAGATGGAGCAGAGGCGACAAGGAGGACACAGGTCCATCACCTGTGACAGAGAGAGAAAGACAGGGCAGCTCTGAGCAAATTTGAGCCGAGCAGAGTGCTCAAGCAGGCTATTAGAGAAGTTCCACGTCAGGAAGGAGGGGCCCGGTTCCCAAACCCCTGGCGGGATCCGCTACACTAGAAGAAAGTGGAATCTTAGCATGATTCGTTGGGTCTCCTGAAAGGAGTCACTTAACACAGTGACCACACCCTGTTTAACACGTACAAACTCACTAGTGAAAATCCACAGCTGCTTCTGTTAATTCTTCATAGAGCTATCCAAAATAGAAACAGAAAGCCCTTCTCAGAAACCCAGCCAGTGATCTCTCCTGGGCTCAGGCTCAGAGCGTCCTTCCAGAAAAACATCTGTGCTGGCACTTAGGATGTCAGGCTGAACAACTCCTGATCAGGGATTTTTAAGACTTCCAAATTCCCTACACTGAAGATTAAAACTGGAAATATATTAAGTACTTAGAGTTTGGATCTGAAGTGTCGCCAAAAGGCCTGTGTGGTAGAGGCTTGCCCCAGAGAGGCATTACTGAGAAGGGATAGAACTCTTAGGACATGAAACCTAATTGGGAGGTCTTTGGGTTATTAGGGGCACACCCTTCGTCTCTTTGCTGTGCCCACGTGGTCATGCATGATGCACTGCCTCACCACAGACCTAAAACAAGGGGGTCAATCAGTCACGGCTTCACTTTCAAAACTGCTGGCAGATATAACCCTTTTCTTAATATGGCTTAAGGTTTAATTCAAATATTCACTATGGTAGTGGAAAGCTGACCATCACAAAGCAAGCTGGCAGCTCGAAAGAGAAGACCTCAGCATGGCATCTGCCGTCATTCTAGTGCAAGTCTGCTGAAGCCAAAGACAGAACCATTGCAGCCCCGGCAGCCAAGTGACAGGCTAATCCAGGCTCCCGAGGAATGGTAAAGGGAGGCAGGAGATGGAATCTCAAGCAAATTATTGTGCCTCCGTTCCTTCCTCTTAAATACATTGATCCAAGGAGTGTCAGCCTTACAGGGCCACTTGGAGGGTTAAATGAGTTAACACACCTTAAGTGAGGTAAGGAACTTAGAACTGTGCCTACCCACACTGTCAGGGTCCCAGAAATGATCACTGATGTTCTAGGATAATGAGACCCCCATATCCATCCTCCGAGCATCCTCAGTGTGCCAAATACCCACTGCCTTAGATGACAGATGACCATACAGACCCTGCCTGTGGGGCACTAAGTTAACACCGAGAAAAGTGAAGCTTCTCATACGGGCCTGCTTGTGAGTTCTGACTGCCCAAACCTAAGGAGCACTAGAGGGAGGTGCAACTGCCACCAGTCCCAAGAAGAGCAGAAGGTGAAGGAGAAGCAGACAGTAACCAGCACCACCCCTACCACTCTCAAAACTTAGAGTAGAGCTGCTGTTTCGAGTGTGTGTGAGAGCCCCTTCTCTTCACCAAGCTGGGGCCACACTGCCAACACTCAGCAGGAGCTCCATAACTTGTCTACCAGGCTCTGCTGCTCCAAGGAGGAGAGTGACTTTTACAGGAGGGGGGCAGGGAAGTTCTTCTGCATATGTGTTGATTTTATTGGTTAATGGGTAAAGCTGTTTTAGCCAGTGGCTTAGCAGAATAGGGCAAAGCAGGAATTCCAGGCTAATAGAGAAGGAGAATATAGGCGGAGCCAAAGAAACGCCATGTAGCTGCAGAAGGAGACAGATGCCAAAGCTTTACGTGGTAAACCACTGCCATGTGACCATACACAGATTAATAAAAATGGGTTAATTCAAGATGTAAGAGCTAGTTAGAAATACAATAAAATCATTGGCCACACAGCGTTACAATTAATATAGTTTCTGTGTGTGATTATTTCGGGTCTGGGTGGCCAGGAAACAAACAGTCTCTGCCAGCAGGGGTGCCTGTTTACCACAAGAGTCGTTCAGAAAATGGGACCAGTCCGTGCTAAGTCAGGTTCATCCTGGAATTAAGAAAGGCTCTCCTGTCCTTGTCCTTCAGTCAGAGGCTGAAACCTAGTCCTAATTGGGTTACCTAGCAACAAGCTTTGGCTTAGGAGACAGAAGAAGTATCAGACACCAGACAGCCCTTGATGCTTCTCACAGTTCAGCCCCACCATGTCATACATCCCCTCCTGCCTGTGCTTGAGCACTGTGCTATTGCTCTGCTCGGCAATGCACATTCTCTTGGGTTTTTAAAGATATCGTGAGACTTGGCACATGTTAAGCCTCTACTCTACCACTAGGCCACATATTCTCGACACAAACACTCCCCCACCTCCTGACAAACTACTGGTCCTCTCCCAGGAAGCCTTCCTTGGTCTTTGGTCCCTCAACACTCTGCCAAGTACCTATAAGAGCTATGGGTTTTCTCTGTTAATTTTCCTTACTAGATCCCTACTGTGCTCAGAGCCCGGCTTCTGGCAATAGAAGGATGTTCAAAAATGTCTCAACTATGGTTGTCTTGTTTTTGTTTTTGTAAAAATACACGTGTTACTGTACAGTGGTGGAAATCTCAGCACTTAGGAGGCAGAGGCAGGCAGATCTCTGAGAGTTCGAGGACAGCCTGGTATACAGAGCAAGTTCCGGGACAGTCAGGGCTACAGAGAACCCTGTTTTAGAAAAGAAAAAAGAACGCATGTGTGGGGGAGTGGTAAGAGTTGAGGTTTCCCTTCTTTCTCTCTTAAATGGAGATGTAATATTTATTTGCCAAAGTTATGTGTGAATTAGACTATTTCGTTACAGTGTTTATTAAATAAAATGTTAAATCTTAACTATTCAAAACGATGAAAATACAAGTAGACCATAAAACTCAGAGAGTGGCCAGGTATGGTGGTAAATGCCTTTAAGCCCAGCTCTCAAGAGGCAGAAGCAGGCAGAACTCTGTGAATTCAAGGTCAGTCTGGTCTATAACAAGCTCCAGGCCAGACAAGGCAACACTGTGAGACACTGCCTCAAAAAAGAATATTTATTTGTATTAGTATTAGCATTATTGAATTAAAAATGCTTAAACTCAAAGTGTATCAGTGACTAGGGATGCAATTCAGTAGTATACCAAGTGCCTAGTATACCTGAGACTGGGCTCTGTGCCCAATACTAAGGGGAAGGGAGAGAATAGCAGATATAGGTAGATTCTTTTTTCTTTCCTTTAAAAAAAATAGCTGTAGGTCTTGGTTTTTATTTATTTATTTTTAAAGACTTTGCTTTATTCATGTGTGTATCTGTCTATCTGTGTGTCTGTGTGTATATGACATAGGTGTATGGTTTACTCGCCAGAAGAGGGCATAAGACCCACTGGAATTACAAACAGTTGTGAGCCACCTGATAAGGGTGAAAGGAACCAGCCCTGTGGTCCTTGGGAAGAACAGCAAGTGCTCTTAACCAGTGAGCCATCTCTTGAGCCCCAAGATTCCCATAGTTATACTGAGAGAACACAATCCCACTACAAGAACACTGAGCTTCATCTAGGCAACTCTCAGGCTTAAACCCTTGAAGATGAATTTCAGCGGGGGCATGGCTCACTGATAGAGAGTTTGCCTAAAGTGTACGGCCCCAGCTTCCACCTTCAGCTCCCTCCCACTCTCTGAAAATGAAGAGTTCCATGTGACTGGATGATCTCAATCTGTCTACCTAAACATAAAATTGATAAAATAAGGCAACCATTAAAATAAATAAATGGCCTTAAAAATAAAATAAAATAAAATAAATGGCCTTGGTCTGCGCCCACACCTATTGATGACATCCATAGGCCAGCCAGAAATGGGTGGAGAAAGCAGGGGAAATTAAGCACTGGCTGACTGTCATCTACAAAAGGATGCAGGAAATCTAAGTGTCTCATCTGACTCCACATGGTCCCTGTTCACCCAGCCAGTGTCCCCAAGCTATCTATCCCCAGGCCTAGCTCCCAGTCAGAATGCACTCCCCAGACATCTCTGAACAGTGTCCTGCTCCAGACCCTGGGTGCACAGCTCGGCTTTGCCTCTCCATGCTCAAACTCCCCAGCCTCCTCCTGCCACAGTCTCAAGTCCTTCTGCATTTCAAGACATATTTCAAGATTTTGCCATCTGCACAAGGAGGGGGTGAAGAGGAGTGACTGTCAGAACCAGTTCTTGAATATTTAACACTTTTCAAAAGTCATGAGGCTCCCCAGGTTGCAGTCCCACCCCCTCACCTGCCCAGAGCACCGAGGCACTTGGGCTCCCATGATCCACCCAGGATGGGGGATGGGGAGGCTGCCTCAGCAACATGCCCATGCATTCATACTGATCTGGGGAGACTCCTGCTAAGCCAACCATCGGCCAGGGTTATTTTCCAGGTCGGGTGCCCATTCAGTTGGTCTCAATTCTTTGCACCCCGGGTGTAGTTAGCACTTTCCAGTCACACTGATATCATCCTGTGACTTCTAAGCCTTGGCTCCCTCCCTCTCCTTTGATGGCTTTTCATCAGCACCACATGACCACACACTGCCAGCTCACCGCCCTCTGCCTCTGGCTCCCCATCAGAAGCCTTCTTGGGGTGGGTCCCATGAGCCCTTCCCTTTCCGTCTGTAGTAGACTAGCAATCGGTTTAGACTGGAAAGCAGAAGAGGGAGACGCTGACAGCTGCATTCCTGCCATCCTGCTGCCCTCTTATGGAAGAAAGAGCAATGTGACTGCTTGGTGACATGGGGCAGCATGAACCTAGGAAGAAGGGCTGCAGCTGCAGCTGGAGCTAACTGCAAGACTGGGGAGCCAGGGGTCGTTATACACCAAGACAAAAGCCATTTCAAAGGTCAGTGCCCAAGTGGAGGCAGCTTTGTCTGCCTAGAAGCCTACACTGATCTCCAACACTAATATAACCCCCAAGAAAGAAATCCTAATACCTACCTCAGGTTAGAACATAGGACTCCCACACCCCATGTGGCAGACAACTGAAGATAGGTGTATGAGGTGTCTAAGCATCACCTATACTCCGGACATTCCCCACCACCACCACCGTGGTGCCAAGCAAGCTAGGAAAATGTTTTAAAAGCTCCTGCTCCCCACACCAGCAAAGGGAAAACTTCAGAATTCCAAACCATATCAAAGGAGAAACACCTTTCTTGGTGACATCTGTAATCCATTAAGAAGCAGTTATGATCAAGCTACAGTGGAATCTCAATCTACAAGCTGACTGCAAGGAACACACACCTACTGTACCCAGAGAGTGAGAAAGCCACCAGCCTGTCTAGATACCCTCCACTCCGTTCTCTCTGCTGCTAAATAAAAGACACCCCGCACTTCCTGTGTCCCAGGGAGTGGGCTAGGTGCTAGGTACACAGTCACAAATTATGCAGGATCTTCACCCTCACTGTGCCTGGTCCCCTGGAAACCACTCTCTTTCTCCAAACATGCCAGCTTTCATGACACCCCTTCTAGTCACAGACATCACTCAGGTGCAAACTGAGGGCCCTCTTTGAGTCCAACGGTCAGTCAGCACTGGTTAACCGTGGCTGAGAAGAAAACAAAGTCCTCCCACAGGGAACTGAACAGAATTCTTTACCCAAGCAGACCAGCTCCGCTCAGAAGGAGCAGTTTCAGAGCAGACGTGTATCAGATTGGAGATACAGATGGGACAGTCGGGAAAAGGGCTGCATTTGGCAGGAAGTGTTAAAGTCACAATCAAAACATAGCTGACTGTGCAGAACCGAAAGGCTGAACAGATTCCGGGATAATGAGCAAAGCCTCACTATGAAATGGTCCCGTCCCAAAGGTAGAGTTAGATCCCCTTAAGAGACGCACCTACAGTGAGGTCTCAAGTACCAATCCAGAGCCTGCCAGCCACTGTGTGGACTGAGACTCCAAGGAGTGGGGAGAAAGCAGGAAATATCTGTCAGAAATAAAAAGAGATTGAGCCAGTGAGCCCATTCGGTGGGTAAAGGTACTTGTGGCCCAGCTTGAGAACCTGAGTTCAATCCCAGGAACCTCATGAAAGGAGAAAACTGACTCCAACCTCCACACATACTCTGTGACACACACACATAGGTAGATAAATAAGTTAAAATGCAATTTAAAAAAATAATAAGGGAGGCTGAGGAGATGTCTCAGAGGGTCAGAGGGCCACAGGAGGATCGCAGGGGCATGCTGGCTGCTAGCCTAGCACCAGGCTCAGGGAGAGACTGTATCTTAAGGGGATAACTAGGCAGTGGGGATAGAACAGAAACCCAATGTCCTCCTCTGGTCTCCACGTGCACTTGAGCATATGATCCAGCAAACATATATGTGCAACACACACACAGTCACATACACACAAAGAAGAGGGATAATAAAGAAGTCAACTACAATTTGTGATGGGAGCACCTTTGCTTTTCTGGCCAGCTTTGTGGTCATTCTAATAATATAAAAGTGATTTTGCCTTTAAGGTGTGGAAGGCACGAATAAAAACATAATATATAAGACCTGTGTGAGGCTTAGACCTGCAGTCAGCATTTAAATGCCTTCATGAATTGAATCTAATTGGCAAACTTCACGATTCATTGCTTATAACAAGTATTTTAGGAAAATTTAGAGAACTGTTAATGGCTTAGAAATTAATAAATCAGGGGTGGGAAGTTAAAAAATAAAAAATTAATAAATCAGACATTAGACTGAGAACACACAGTTCCTATGACTTCTATGTCCAGGCTCCAAAACATGCACGGAAGGTCTGAGTGTGAATACGGAAGGTCTGAGTGTGAATACACAGTGACTCACACTGCCTGTGTGCTCTCCAGAAAAAAATACGCTAGCAGCAGCGTGGGTCAGACTTCAGAGAAACGCGGGACCTTGCAGGCATGCTCCAGAAGCTATTCCTACCCATCTGTTTTTTTCCACCCTTTCCATCTTTGCTTGGGCTCTTTGTTTACCTAAACTGTCCCCCGTCTAAAATCTGGCTTCTCTTCAAAGCCCAGGGCAAATGTCATCTCTTCCACCAAGTTTGCCTGCTGTCTGGGCAAGAAAGCTCTTCCCAGTGCAGTGTACAGGAGGCAAGAGCCATAAGCACACACATCTCATTATGCTCAAAGCACCAGCTAGTGCAGGGACTTCACCAAGAACTGGTCATTTGAGAGCTGAGAGGATGCATTCCCTGAACCCCAGAAATCCTGGACAGACCCTTTTCCAAATATGCTTCACAGACGGCAGAGCTTCAGAGGAGGAAAAATGAGGCCCGAGGCTCTAGCAGCAGCGTTCCCAGGCTCTTACCTCATACTCAAAGTTACCTCCCAGGGCACTGAGGTCCAGGTGCAGGTTCTTGAGAAGTTCACCGGAGCTTCGGACACTCTGCAAGAAAAAAACAACTATGAGCAGTGTCTTAGTTAGGGTTTTTGTTGCTATGATAGTGTTCATGACCAAAAGCCAGTTGGGGAGGAAAGGGCTTACTTCAGCTTCCACTCTCAGGGCATAGTCAGCTACCAAAGAACTTGGAAGGGACCAGCAGCCAGAACTGACGCGGAGACCATGGAGGAGTGCTACTTACTAGCTTGATCCTCTTGCTCAGCCTGCTTGTTATTTATTTATTTGTCTGTTTGTTTATGGTTTTTTAAGACAAGGTTCTCTCTGTAGCTCTGGCTGGCCTGGAACTCACTTTGTAGCTCAGGCTGGCCTCCAACTCACAGAGATCTGTCTGCTTCTGCCTCCCAAGAGCATGGATTAAAGGCATGCGCCACCACTACCTAACTGCTTAGCCTGCATTTGTATGCAGCTCAGTCAGGACCACCTGTTCAGAGACAGCACCATCCACAACATGGGCACACACTAATCACTTATTAAGAAAATGGTTCACAGGCTTGCTTACAGACCAATCCTATGGAAGCAGTTTTCTCAATCAGGGTTCCCTCTTCTCAGATAACTCTCGCTTGTGTCAAGTTGACAAAAAGAAAAAAGTGCTAAGTCTAAAGAAATTGGCCAGCCCAACACGAAGGGCACGCGCGGAGAGTAGGGGTGCCCTGGTGAGGCTTTGGAGGACTCCAGGGCAGGCCCTCCACTAAGGCCTCGCTAAGCAGCCCTGTATCCAGTGAGCACAAGGCCAAGCAAGTATGTTGTGTTCTCCAGCTCAGACCTAAGAGGCATACAGACTGGTTGAGAAAGAAAGTTATGGGTGGAAAAAAACCACTTTTATTTATTTTTAAAATGGCTGGGAGGTTAGCCAAATAGAACTAATCCATGTATCTACCAACAGATGAGCGCAAAGACAGAACATGGAACACACACAACAGGCTTCAAAATGAGTGTTTACATACTCGCTGCAGCATACTGAGTGAGAAGGTGCCAGACATCAAAGAAAACACTATGTGATTTTTATCATATAAAACAAAGAGAACTGGCAAAGTCATGAACCACCAAAAAAAAAAAAAAAAAAAAAAAAAAAAAAAAAAGAGTTCGAGGTTACCAGGGGCTGGAAGAAAAAGGATAAAAGGATGTATTTTCTGGTGGTTAGAATCTGGGACTATAAACAAGTTCTGAAAGTGGACAGTAGTGATGGTAACATATCATTATGAAAAAAACTAATATCCCTGAACTACTGTTCAGTTAGAATAAGTTGGGGGCTGGAGAGATGGCTCAGTTAAGAGTACTGTACTGGCTGCTCTTCCAAAGGACCCAGGTTCAATTCCCAGCACCCACATGGCATCTCACAGTTGTCTGTAGCTCCAAGATCTGACATCCTCACATAGACATTAATGCACATAAAATAAATAAATAAATAAATAAATAAAATCTTTAAAAATAAAGAAACATAAAGATATAGAATAAATAATAAGTTAAAAATCTTACCTGTGTGTGAGAGAGCTTTACCATGATTTAAATACATATAATATGTGTATATATACCTAGAGGGTTTCCAGGCCAGAAAGGGGACCTCACAGTGGAGGCCCAAAAATGTGAGCCTATTCCCCCTTGTCTGCAGGTCAGAGTCTGAGCTTGCTCAAAGCTGTTGACACAACTGTGGCTACACACCCTGACCTAGGGTGTGGTTAGTTGGTGTTTTGGACAATAAGATGCCCCGTGGAGGTAGATCCACTCCTCCCCGACCAAAGGTCAGAGAATTCAAGCATACTTCGGCTCCTTCTTTGGAAATAGGAGGTTTGATCTAGAGATACTTGGTCTAGGGTGGGTTCACTGCCTACACAACAGAATGCTTTTCTCAAGGAATGATGACTTAATGTCTCAAGTATTGGGGCAAGTAACTGTCCTAGCTGTCCTTTGTATCACGTTAAAACAGTCTTTTGCTTTCATCTCCACCCCCTTTAGTACTGGGGTATAAAAGTGTACATAAATTAAACACGGGAGAACTCAGAAAAATTTCAGCATTCAGTATTAAGTATTTGCTGAGTTGCCCTCCCGTTACCATCCTATGTCTCTGTGATCTTTCTTCCTTTTTTTTTAGAATATTTATTTATTTATTATGTATACAATATTCTGTCTGTGTGTATGCCTGCAGGCCAGAAGAGGGCACCAGACCTCATTACAGATAGTTGTGAGCCACCATGTGGTTGCCGGGAATTGAACTCAGGACCTTTGGAAGAGCAGGCAATGCTCTTAACCACTGAGCCATCTCTCCAGCCTCTCTTTGATCTTTCTTATCTCTGCTCCTCCTACTTAACTTTTATAATCCACACGCTCCTACCCTGGAACATGTGAACCCACCAAAGCTAGGATCGCGGCAGAAGTCACCCCAAAAAGGTGGCTCCCAACACCTCACCATTACCTGGTTGTCACTCTCCTCCTCGTCCTCCTCGTTGGTCTCTTCCCCTAAAGCCAAGAGACTGAGCGTATGCTTGCCCTCGTGGGTAGAACCCAAGAAACCCTTTGCACAAGCAGCAGTCTTGGGACCCTGTGGAGGATCCAAAACACAAAAGGAACAAGGGACTTACCAGAAAGACCTTCAGAACAACCCTGGCATGCTCCTCCCTCAATTCCCACCTAGATAGGGCCTCAATTGAGTCCCACCATGTCCATGAATCTGGCTCTAGTTCACACTGCTTACTCCCATCCCAACTCCCACTGTCCCAGCCACAGGGTGGGGAGATCAGCAAAGATAGCCTACAGCCCAGTCCAGCTCCCCGCCCCCCACCAGAGTGACTCTTCTCAGACAAGCTGGTGAACTCTGAAGACACAGCTTACGTCTCAGGACCAGGTCACAGTCCCGAGTAGGACACCCAAAAGGTCCCACAGAAACAAATCACATGCACAGCAGAGGAAGGACTCACCAGCGTGGGTTCCCCAAGCTGCCCAGAATCTGCCGAGCTCCCCAGGCTCACACTCTGAGATCCACGAAGAGCAGAGGGTGGGGCATCCCCGAGGCCTCGTAAGGGAGCCAGGCTCCAAAGAGGGGCTTGGACTGGGGCTAAGGGGGAACCCAGGACCTGGGCAACAGAACACATCTTGTTACAAACCCCAGAAACCACGTGGCTCTCGGGGTGTTGGAGGCAGATATATAAATAAAGCATCTAAATCCTGTCCGTTCAAATTTAAACCACCTCCGCTTGGGGCTGCTAATGAAACACAACATTCAGAAATACCATGTGCCAACTGGGTGAGACTCGCAGGCCAGCTTCCTGGTAACTTGTGTGTTAGTTCACATCTGGCAGAAGCTAAGACTGGGGGCTCTCCTCCCCTTTCGGGAGCCACATACCAAGTGAACCAGATAAAGGAGGAATGGGGCAGAGATAAATAAACCCCAGCAACTAGAAGTCTCTACACTTGATGCCTAAAACTGAGGAGCCGAGAAAAAGTAGTCGCGACATGATACTGACAGAGATGGAAGCAAACACCAGAAGAAAGTGCAAGCCTTCTCGGAGGGCTGTGCACTCAGGAGGCCACTACACATAAACACGTGCCTTGTCATTTGACTTGCTCTCCCTGGTTCTCAGGAGAGCCGAGGGAAGGCCAACTTCACGCCAGCGAGAACTGGAGTCAAAATCCAGGCTGGGTCCGAATGTGTGACCCCTCTGGCTGCTCACAGATCCTCACATTCCCTTTTCCTTCATCTGAAGATGATGGAGAGGGTCCAGGCTTGGCCCTACGGGGTCTGCTAAGAAGCTCCGAGGAGAGGATGGACACAAGGGGTCTCTGTAAGGGGCCTAGGGCTGTAGCGATATTATGGAATCAACCATCTGGCCTAACAGAAAAGCCAGAGGCCAGCATAGGGGCCAGAGAGAGGGCCCACTGGCTAAGAGTCTGCTGCTCTTCAGAGGATCTGAGTGCATTCAGTTCCCATACCTACTTCAGGTAACTCACACACCACTGCCTGCAACTCTAGTTCTAGACCATCTCTGACGCCCTCTTCTGGCCTCCACAAGCACTTGCACTCACACATTCACATTCACACAGTTGAAAATAAAATCTTAAAAAAGAGATGGAGCAGGAGAACTGACTCAGAGGTTAAGAGCACTGACTTCTCTTCCAAAGGACCCAGGTTCAATTTTCAGCACCCACATGGCAGCTCACAATTTTCCCTAATGCCAGTTCCAGGGTACTCAACACCCTCACACAAAATACATGCAGGCAAAACACCAATGCACATGGAATAAAAATAAATGAAGTAAAAAAAAAAAAAAAGGTAATGACACATGCTTTTAATCCCAGCACTCGGGAAATAAAAGAAGACGGATCTCTGTAAGTTCGAGGCCAGCCTGGTCCACAGAGTGAGTTCCAAGACAACCAGGACTGTTACACAGAGAAACCTTGTCTCGAAAAATTTTTTAAAAGCCAGGCAGTAGTGGTGTACACTTTTAATCCAAGCACTTGGGAGGCAGAGGCAGGCAGATCTTTGTGAGTTTGAGGCCAGTCTGGTCTACAGAGAGAGTTCCAAGACAGGCTCCAAAGCTACACAGAGAAATTCTAGAGAAAAAAAAAAAAGCAGGAGATCAGCATAGCATACTGGGGACAGATTGCAACACTTTTCAAAACTTTCGTCAAATTTATCATATTCGTATATCTATATATGAATATGATAAACATATATAGAATACACATACACACATATACATATATATATACAAAACAGAAAGAACAGCCAAGCAGTGGTGACACACATCTTTAGTCCCAGCACTCGGGAGGGATAGGCAGGCAGATCTCTGTGAGTCTGAGGCCAGCCTGATCTACAGAGCCAGTTCCAGGACAGCCAGGGCTACACAGCAAAATCTTGTCTTGAAAAAACAAAGAGAACATATCCTCCTCCACACTAAACCCCAAGGAGTGAAAAAGAAAGGTGGTTCCCAAGGTCAGAGTCACTACCCTCTCGGCCAGTCTGGTCCAGGGAAGAGGTCCCTGGGCAAATCCCAGCAGGGCCTGTTTCTGCAGTCAGAGGACACCTGAGTCTTAGCTGAGAAGTGAGGTAAGACATCCCTTACCTCTGCAGATGGCCAGACATCTGGCCTGCTGTAGAACGTCCCTGTCAAGAAAAAAGCTACCGATACATAGAATCGACCAGTGGTGCTGAACACTGGGTCGTGTTCTTCTCACAAATCTATCACCACGCAGAGACCCCATGTGAGTAAACGGAGGTAGGTGTGGTCGAGAATCCTCTCCAAAGTCACAGACTTAGTGGGGCAGAGAGGGGACTGAGCCCAGGATTATCTTGGAGAGGGGATTTCATATGGTCTCATGACTGTGGTCGGAAGCAGTGCAGGAAGCTGAGCCTGCCCCGCCTGCTTAGCCCTTCCACCAGTCCAAGTATATCAGCAAGTGAAATCCTTCCCACACTGTATTTATAGAAAATTACAGACTCCTAACATGGCTAATTTGCTAACGTGCTGGGGGCTTGAGGGAGGGAGACAGGCGTGCTGAGGCCTTTGTTCTCTTGGGCCTTTACTGAATCAGTGGTTAGCAGGGAAATTATATATCCCTGGCTCCTAGCTGATCATCTTCAATAGACGGCCATTAACTCTGAGCATGGGCCTGTGCATGCCATTGTCCTTCAGAGCTGATAAACTTGATGCCATTGGGCTAATTAAAACTTTCAGGATAATCTGTGGCTTATCTGATATTTATAGTACTACAGTAGTTATTAGGACTAACAGAGAACCAGTGTGTGTCGGCAATTAGGGACCAGAGGGAACAACTGGGTAAAGTCACAGCTGGGCCACAGCGGAACACCTAGGGAATTCAGATTGAGCCCCGTGGTCCTATCTGACTTGATTTCTGAATGAAAACTGGGTGACTCTTGAAAGGGACAAAGGGAAAGAATGACAAGGCCAGCCCCACCCGGTAGGGAAGTGAAGTCACAAACAGGGTCCACACAACCTGACATAGGTTAGCCATGAGATTTTCTGGGGACCCCGGGAGGCAAGGAGCAGAAGCAGCTGCATGGCGGTGCTGTGTGCCTGCCTCCAGGAAGGGAAACAAAGCTTTGGGGATGAGTACCTGCTGTGAACAGCTGGCTCTTCTCAAGAATCGGCTGGTAGAAAAGACTTCCCAAACCCCAGAAAGGGCCTGGATTCTGTCTAAGGGCCAGCATGGGTACCACCTTGCCCATCCTAACGAGAACTCCTTTCAAAGCCTATGACCCACGCAAGAGCATGGCTACACCTAGGCAAGAGAACCCAGAGATGCCCTCAGCTCTAGCCTGCAGGTGATAAAGAACAACCTTGAAATCCAGGTCATCTCAGCAGGTGGTCACTCAGGTAGTCAAGGGATCCTCGGGTACTGAAGGAGGGTTAGCATCAAGAAAGCAGACCTGAGAAGGCTTTGGAGCAGGAGCAATTCTACCTGTCCCACCCTGCTGAGCTCAGGGGCCCCAGACCTTAGGCCCCACTTTCTAAGAAGCCTACCTGGTTGAAAAGCTGCATCTTGCTCGTCTCTGCAGCAAGCCCGGTATCAGAACTCGGCTGGACTAGCCCCTGCCTGAGGCCACTGCTTAGCTGGCACTGTGCTTGCTGAGAGATCTCCTGCCTGGCAGAGGCAGCGATCACTTCTGGAGAACGTTCCAGCAGTTCCGGCCCCCAAGCCAGTAGCCCCGAGTCCCTCTCCTGAGCTCTGACGGCCTTGTGTTCACCCTCACTACACATCCTGGATAACTCGGTGGCCATGCCACAGACCATGCCGGCGACGTCTTTGCACGGCATTTCCTGCACGGTCTCAGGCAGTTCCAGGCCCTCCAGCCGCCTGGAGAGCTTGACCATCTGCAGGATGTGCTGGTAGAATCTCTGGTCCTCAGAGTAGTCTTCACTCTCCGACTTCTCTTCAGCAGAGCTCTGCGTGGGGGGTAACTGGGGCACCAGGAAAGGGCAGAACCGCACATCTCTAGGCCCTGGGTCTGACTGGCCCATGACAGGAACACAGCCCTGGGGGCTCTGCAGGTCCCAGGGGAAGTTGTTTACCTCACCTAGGACCTGTGAGCCAAGGGGAGAGGCCAGGCTGCTGCCCCCTCCACTACTGCTATCTGAGTCAGCCCCGGGCACACTAGGCCCCCTATCTTCATTGGGAAACTCCAGAGACTCGTGTGGATGGTGTCTCCCTTTACTGTCAGAATCCTCTGAAGGGGGCTTTGAAGCTAGTTCTGATGCCAGGGTATCAGGTGGCATCAGGGAGAGGCCCTGTGGTGCATCTTCAGCTGAGGCCTCTGGAACCTCGGGAGCAGCAGGCTCCACTTCCTTGCAGCTCTCTGTGGTGTCCTTGTTGACAAGATTGGAGACCTGTCCTATCCATAGTCCCGGAGGCTCTCTCCTCCACCTCCCCCTACCCAGGTCCCCGCCTTCCCCAGGAACTCCCTGCCAGCTCAAGTCTTCTGCGGGGCTGCTCTCTAGTAAAAACAGCTTGTTTTTCCTGGCAGGCAGTGCGTGGTCAGACGAACAGAGGGACAGGGAGGGCTCCTCCTCAGAGGATGGCAAGGGAATGGGGCTCTGACCTTTGTCCCCTCCAGGGCCAGTACAGCTCAGTGTGGCAACGCTGTGACTACGCTGCTCCCCTTTCAGCTGCAGGCCTCTGGGGGCTTCGGGAAGTTTAGAGTGGACAGGAGTCTGGCTCCTGCATTCTAACGCATCCTGACCATTCTGGAGCAGCTCAGGGATCTGGGCGCCCCCCGTGCTGGGTTTCTGCTGTCTGCTCCTCAGTTCCAGCTGTTCTATTTCAGGATCTGAAAATCCCAGGTAGATTTTCTCTGTTGCTCTCTGAGTTGACTCCAGACCCTGTGGGTCTCCTAACTCTGTCTTGCACTGGACCGAAGGCCTGCCTAAGATTTTCTCCACATCAGCAAAGATTTGGTGGGTCCGAGGAGCTTGGCCTTTGGAGAGTGGCTGCAGCTTGCCAGGAAGGGCACCCATGAAGGGCCATGGGGTTTCGCCCAGCATGCACAGGCTCCTCCCTTTCTTAAAGGAGGCCTCACTTCTAGCCTGCACCTCTTGGTCTAGGTCCAGATCAGCAAGCCCAGGTGCTGGGAGAGGGGACAGGCCACGGAGAAAGGAGGAAGAAGGCAGAAGTCCCTGCTCAGGCTGTGTTTCCTAGATGGGTATATAAACATGCAGAGAAAACAGGGGCTGATGGATTCTTGCTACCTCAGCCCAAGACCCACAGCAGAAAACCACCCTCCTTAAAGTAAAGCAGAAACCAGACAGAGAGAGAAGAAAGGCCAAAATTCCCTTAGGCTAAATATATGTCCCTTTCTAGGTTCTAGATCCCCTCTAAAGAGAAGGGGGAAAACCAACAACAACCATGTTAACAGTCTTTAAACGCTGCTCCACAGAGCCCTGGGAACTCGGTTCCTAGGGTGCTACCACAGGGTGAAGGCTACAATATGGTTGACAGGGAAGAGAACCACAGCCCCCGGTAAACCAGAGTAGCCCTGTTTGTTTTTAAGCTGGCCTCACAGAGCAGCCATCTGAAGGCAGCACTTTACCACTCACCAAAGCCAGGAGACCACAGCAGTGTGACCAGTCCCTAAGCTTCCTCAAGCCCTCAGATTCATGATCAGTTAACTTTATAAAAGCCTTATCAAGGATTCCCAGAAATGTCCCATGAGGAAGAGAGGAAGTCCTGGAAACTCAGCCAAGCGCCTTCTACCACCAGCACAGGTTGGTACTGCTTAAAAGACTTCCAGTCTCAGAATCTTGGGGCTACCAGAAAGCCTTAGCATAAGCCACCCTCTGTAAATACGCCAACCAGCCAGCTGGGAGCACACTTCTCCAGAGGCCCAGACCTCTGAGCCTATGTAGCCCATGATCCCCGGCCTGACCACTCGCAAACTCAAGCTTGAGGTGGCTGGCCTGGGCCCTCAGAATCCCACTGAGGATGCAGGGTTGCCCAGCTGTCTTTTCCTAGAACTACAGGGGGATCCTTTCTAACAAGGAGCTTCTGGGTCTCAAACACACATTCACAGAAAAGTCCGTCACCCGAGCCCACTCTGAGTCAGGCTGGAGCCTGCCAGATGCCAAAATACCATTTCAGATTATCCTGGGCTAGCATTCACCTTCCGCTCTTCAAATATATGATGATATTAGAAAATTCTAAGATTCTATTTAGAAAGCACCTGTCTGCATTCTTCTATAGGAAACCGGGCATAAAGCTGTGGGGAGGTAAGGGAGGCAGAGCAGCCACGGAACCTGAACAAATGACCGTTCAAGGCCAGAACTGACACTTTAGGAAAGAAGAACTGGGCTGGGGATGTGGCTCTTCACAGGGCTGAACGAAGCTGCTGCCTCAGGCTGCCGGCCCCACACCTGCACGAAGGGCACAGAGTCTGTCCTAAACCACAAGGTCTCACTCAGCAACTCCTAAGTAAGGGTGATCACCTGCGCCTCCTACGTTCAGACGTGCTGAGTGAGAAATAAATAATGGGAAGAGCACTCTGAACTCACTACAAAAGCTACTGGAGACCACGGGGAGTACATACCGTTAAACTGCTGCTACCCTCCACTAGCCAAGGACGCTGGCCACAAGGACCACGATGACGTCAATAAAGCCAATGGCATGTATGTATCAATTACAGGCTGACCTCAAAATCGTGATCTCCAGGCTCAGCCTTCCAAACACTAGGATTGCAGGCATGCACCACCAAGCTTTTCTTTTCAAACTTGAAGGCACTGGTGTAACGACTATTTTAGGGTAACAATGACCCACACCAGGGCAGCCTGATGCCAGCTCGTCAACCGCGCCCATCTCGCTGTTCCCCAGCCTTCCAGAGTGGGAAACAGTGCCACCTCTTCGTCAAATGCAAAACACACACGGTCCTTGCCCCGCTGACCTCACACTGTCACTAACCCTGCCGTGTAGCACGTTCCCCAAGGAGAGAGAAGGAATTACTTAGAGAAGTAACAACTGCTAGAAGCTGAAAGAAAAAGCCACCGGGTAAAATCAGACAGTGCCTTGCCAAGAGTTCACTACTGTTTTCACTCCTGGAGGGACCCACACCCCTTGGGCTGCAGCTCGTCTCAGGCTGACTCACCAGGGGACTCTTAGACGCCTCTTTGTCCTTCTTGTTTTTCTTTTCCTTTTTCTTTTTCTTGTCTTTCTTCTTAACGGCCCCAGGAGCCAACCACTTCTCCCGCTCTTGGATGACCAGCTTTCGATAGTGCTCATCACACGGATGGTCCCAAATGGACTGACCAGTGTTGAAGTTGAAATAGTAGATGTCACCTGTGATGTTCTGGCTAGGAGTGAGAGAGTTCAGAAGTTAGTCCTTTCCAAGGTCCAGCAAAAATATAATTCTTTAAAAAAGGATAAGTACTGAAATATATAAAATAACATAGCATTGGATAGTTATTTATTTCTTAAAGTGTGTTAAACATCGTTTGACACTAAGAAATAAACAAATAAGGAACTGAGAAATACTAGGAAATTACCCAGAATACAACATGGGAGATAAGATGATATATTTAAATATAAGAAATAAATTATACATAGAAGATAAATTATGGACATTCAATGCTGCAACATTCTTTTTTTCTCTTTCTTTGTTGATTTTATCTTTTTAACGAGCAACAAACTTCTGAAAGATTACTCAAGGAAAAGAGAGAACTAAAAATAAACTAGTTGATTTTTTTTTTTAATGGGGCTGGAGAGAAGGCTCAGCAAGAGCACTGGCTGCTCTTCCAGAGGGCCAGGTTTGATTGCGAGTACCCACCTGGTAAGGTTTAAAACGGCTTATAATTCTAGTTTCAGAGGATCTGACACCCTATTCTGACCTCCATGCGCAAATATATATGTATATATAAGTAATAAAATAAAAATAAATAAACTGCCAAGATTCATTCCCAAAGAATTGACCAGGCCTGGGGATATAGCTCAATTCCCATCTTCCATACAGCAGCTCACGACTGCCTGTAACTCCAGTTCTAGACTCCTGTTTTGCTTTGTTTTGTTTTTGTTTTTGTTTTTGTTTTTTGAGACAGGATTTCTCTGGAGCTTTGGAGCCTGTCCTGGAACTAGCTCTTGTAGACCAGGCTGGCCTCAGACTCACAAAGATCTGCCTGCCTGTCTCCCAAGTGCTGGAATTAAAGGTGTGTGCTACAGCCGTCCAGAAGTTCCAGTCTCTTGACACCCTCTTCTGACCTTCTCAGGCACCTGCATTCATGCTGTACATACAGACAAGTAGGCACACACATATACATGTAAATAATTTTTAATTATGTTTCTATACGCAGTAGTCTATGCACAGTACTTGAATCAGTACTTTCTGCTCTGAGATAGTAGAGATGTCCAACCCTCTAATCTCAGGAGGTGGAACTTGGAGGACCTAAAGTTCAAGGTCATTATCTTTTTCTACTTGAGGCCAGCCTGGGCTATATGGAGAGACTCTGCCTCAAAGGACAAACCAGAGAACTGACCTGAATACTCTATATCTCATGGGGGCAAGGACGAGAAAGGGTCTCATTATAGGGAACTAGCTGGACAGGAACTACCCTATGTAGACCAGACTGGGATGGCCTTGAACTTACAGCAATCCTCCTGCCTTTGCTTTTGCTTTTGTCCACTTACACACACACACAGCTTTCTTTTTTTAGAACTAGATTAAAGTTAAAACTTTTCCCACAAAGAAAATTCTAAGCCCAGACGAATGCAGTAGTAAATTCCATCAAATATTTCCAGCAGAATAGCAGCAACCCTACACAAGCTTGTCCATAAACCTGAAGAGGAAGAAATTCTCATTCTGTGAGAACAAAAACACGGCACAAAACAAGATAAAGACATTAGGAGAAAATGATACTATAGACCTGTTTCCCTCCCCATGGACACAGATGCAATAACACTTAATGCAATTTTACAAGATCAAATCCCATAAAATATAAAAATGATCATACATCATGACCAAGTGGAGCTACCCCAGGAATATGAAATCTGGTTCAACATTTGAAAATCAAGGTCAGAGAGATGGCTCAGCTGATGAAGGTGCTTATGGCCAAGCCTAAGGAACGCAGTTCACTGCCAGGATCCCACATGGTAGAAGGATAGGACTAACTCCCACAAATTGTTCTCTGACATCCATTCTTACAAGTACTGTGGCATGCCCACCCCACAAATAAATGAATAAATAAATGCAATTAAAAATTGATTTAAAAATTTGAAAAATCAATCAATAAATTGACTGTAAGAAAAGACTAAAAAGAAAACCACCACCTAATTTTATCAAGAGATGTAGAAAAGCGCTGGGTAAAATCCATCCACCTTTTCTTCAAAGTACCAGCAACAGCACAAATGTAGCTGTAGCGATATTTTTGTTTTTAACAAGTAAAGCTTGTCTGAAGATCAGAGGGCAGAGCTAAACCACTAAACACCAATGAGTGGTGGCAGACACCTTTAATCCCAGGACTAGGGAGACAGAGGCAGAGGGATCTCTGTTAGTTCAAGGCCACCCTGGGCGACACAGGATTGAATCTAAAAGAGAAACAGAGTTCACAAAGGTGATCCCAGCAGTCGGGAGGCGGAGACAGGAGTGATGTAGCTGGGTGGAGAGAGGATTGAATGTAAGGTGGGAGGAGCCGGGAGCTTCGCGCGCTCTGAGGTTTGGTGGAGACAGTTGCAGTCCAAGGACACAGTCAGAGGAGTAGTCTGAAGCAATCTCAGGAGGCAGTCTGAGGACAGGATCACCCCTTCAGTCTGAGCCAGGGTAGAGGTAAGAACATTCTAGTGGCTGCCGCTCTGCTTCGCCAGCCAACCTTCAGCTTTCACCCCCTAATATCTGACTCTGAGTTTTTGCTGCTGCTGCTGCTGCTGTTCTTTGGTTTTTCCTTTTGGCTTCTTTCTTTCTTTCTTTCTTTCTTTCTTTCTTTCTTTCTTTTTTTTTTTTTTTTTTTTTGTTTGTTTGTTTTTCGAGACAGGGTTTCTCTGTGGTTTTGGAGCCTGTCCTGGAACTAGCTCTTGTAGACCAGACTGGTCTCGAACTCACAGAGATCCGCCTGCCTCTGCGAGTGCTGGGATTAAAGGTGTGCACCACCACCTCCCGGGCCTCTTTTTGGTTTCTTGAGACAGGATTTCTCTGGGTAGCTTTGATGCTTGTCCTGAACCTAGTTCTTGTAGACCAGGTTGGTCTTGAACTTACAGAGATTCAAGGCGTGCACCACCACTGCCTGGCTCCTGACTCCGAGGTTTTATCATTAAGAACAATTAGAATTTACACTACACACAAACTCTACTGACAGAGGGGCATCTACAGGAAGCCCACAGACAGAAGCTACCAAATGCTGAACAAATGAAAGCTTCCACCCTAAGATCAGGAACAAAGCAAAGACATCCTCCATCACTGCCTCTACTTAATGATGCTGAGGGCTCTAGTCACTGAGGTACAAAATAGCAAGAAAAGGCAACAAGATTAGAAAGTAGGAGGCAAAATACCTTTATTCCTAGGAGACACAATCACTTCTGCAGAAAATCCTATGGAATCTTAAAAATAAATAAATAAAGCTACTAGGCCTGACATAATTGATTTTAGCAAGGTTGTACAGTGCAAGATCAATATACAGAAACCAATTTTACTTCTCTATAAAAGCAACAAAGAATTGGAAACTAAAAATATAGCACTTACAGAGGCATCAAACATGAACTACTTAAGGATAAATCTGATAAAGAGAGGCAACACATGTACACAAAAGCTATTAAACATTCTGAGCGATATTAAAGGAAGCCTAAATAAATGGAAACAGACTGTATTCATGGGCTGGAAGATTCAATACCATTTAAGATGCCTGTTCCCCTCACACTGACTTACGTGTGGTCCCAATTCAAACAGTAAAGTGACAAGACATGGAAATGCAAAGAACTTCGAGTGAGACTTTGAAAATGGGAACAAGGGGCTGGAGAGGTGGCTCTTAGAGGACCCAGGTTCAAGTCCCAGCACCCACAGAGTAACTCACATTCACCAGCAACTCTAGTTACAAGGGATCCAACTCCCTCTTCTGGCTTCTCAGGTACCAAGTATGCATGTGGTACACATACATACATGCATGCAAAATACCCACAAATACTAAAATCACAATAATACTAAAAGAAAAATGGGAACAGGGGTAGAACACCTACCCTGGAAGATTTCAAGACTTATTATAAAGCCATGTGGTCAGGAGAGAATAGCACAGAACACATGAGTACATCAGTGGCAGACAGCAGGGAATACAGAAACAGATATTTTTTTCCAGTGACTATGGGTGTTTTGTCTGCATGTATGTCTGTGCACCACATTTGTGACTGGTCCCCTGGGTGCCCCTGAACTTCTCATCACGATGGACTGGGAGCTAAAACTGGGAGCTGAAGCAAACCCTCTTCCCCTAAGTTACTTTTGGTTAAGATATTTTGTCACGGCGACAAATCAAACTATTACAGGTAGGTAAACCAAGCGTGGTGGCACACACCTATAACCCCGACATTCAGAAGGCAGAGGAGGATCACAAGTCCACGGCTACATGGTAAAACCACGTTTAAAAAAAACACCTATAACCTCAACGCATGGCAAGAGGATTAGGAGTCCTGGGTCATCCTCAGCTACAACGGAAGGTGAAAGCCGACCCGAGACCTGTGAGACCTTATCTAAGAAGAAAAACAGACGGAGACATGGTGGTACGCACCTGCAATCCGGGAACTCAGAGGATGGAACCAGAAGGATCACAAGTTTAAAGCTATCCTAGTCTACATAACAAGACTGTCTCAAAAGAAAAAAAAATTATACTGACATAGGGCAACAATGCACATAACGTAACAGTTATGATTAAAACAACAAAACCGTAAGTGGAGTGTATGTGCTAAAAGTTCTAGGATTTACCAATTGACAGTAATTAGGCTTGGAAAAGAGAATGGGATAAAACATGACAGGTACAAATAACTTTTAATAGCTTGCACTTTTTAGAAAATGAAAAACAGTTCATGGTCCTCCCCCCCCCCCCCCCCCCCCCCCCCCCGCGCCACCCCCACACACAAAACCACCCTCCTTTTTCCTCAAAGCAACTGGATCCCCCCCCCCCCCCCCCCCCCCCCGTAGGACAGGAGAGTGCCAGCCACACAGGTACACGAAGGCAGCTGGCCCTAACCAGACAGCTCCCCACCCTCCATCAGGAAGGGCACTGGGACAAAACAAAGCGCTAGCTTCCAAACACAAGCTTGAGTTCTCAGCACCAGGAAAACAGTCGGAAGCGCTAACAGATTTCCTAGAAGAAAGATACGAACCTGGAGATAGTCCAAGGGGAGTCTGCTAAAAGAGCAGCAGAACAAGGAGCCTGTCGAGTAAGAGGAGCAGAGAAGAGTCTGTGCCTTCGGCTAAGGAGAACAAGGTGGGTAAGATTGAGAGATGTGCGTAAGGAGAGTAAGGTGGGGAGATGGCTCAGCAGTTACGAGCGCTTGCTGCTCCTGCAGAAGACCAGAGTTTAATTCCCAGCATCCACATGGTGGCTAGCAACCATTTCTAACCACAATTCCAAGGAATCTGAAGTCCTGCTTCTGCAGGCACCAAGCACATACATGGTGCACACACACATATATGCAGATAAAACAGTTACACACTTAACGACAGGCATGGCAGTACACATCTGATCTATACACACATATACACATGTATATACACACAGACACACACACACCACTGAATCCCAGAGTCAGGTCCCTCTGTCTCTGACAGGCCAAGTTAGTGAGCTATTGTAATGACTTACCATGGTTTCCAGCCCTTGGGCAGTGGCGCTTCAATACCCTCCCTCGCCAGCCACATCAGTTCTGGTTCCTTGATGGGGTCAATACCAATCACTCTGGCAAAGTCAAGGATTTCTGCAAAAAGAGGAGGGTGAAGGAGGAAGGTGGAGGGTAAGAGAGAGGAGGAGGAGGGAGAGGTGTATAAGAAGCAAAATTGAGTCAATTCTTTTCTGGATTTTCCTTTACTCGTCAAGTTCCCGTAAATGATAAAATATGGTTTCTCTAAATATAAATAATAAATATACAGCACTAAGTCTGGATGTGGCCGTACCCACCCAGAATCCTAGCACTTGGGGAGAGGCAGGAGGATCAAGAGTTCAAGGTCATCTTGGCTCCACAGTGAGTTCAAGGCCAGCCGGGCTACTTGAGACCATCTTAATCATTAAAAAGCTCTAATAAACAAACAGGCATAAGAACGGGTTTCCTTACATCACAATTTATAAACAGCATCTAAATCAAGTCATTCTACCTCCCAACTCCCACAAATACAATCTGAAGTCACAGTTCACAAAAGGAGAGAGTAATGGAAACCAAGACTCCACAGCGGGGCCTCAGGAAGGACCCAGGCCACAACCGAAACCTCACAGTGGGGAGGCCTCAGGAAGAACCCAGGCCACAGCCGGAACCATCCAGAATGAGGGCAACCTTACTAAAAGATAAACTTTCAGAAGATTTACAAGAGCTGGGCTCTAATGCACTTGGCCCTCAAGCCCCAAGTGAGTATCAACTACGTATGACTGAGTTCTTGAAGGACCTTGTAAACACACAGAACATGAAATAGACAGTGTGTGTTGTGACGATGGCTTGTACCGTGTGCCACTGTAGCAGAGAGAAGGCAGTGCCTGGTTCTCTGAGGGACAGGACGGTGCCCAGATGAGAAAGTAGATGATACTCAGGTGGCCTCTCCCCCCTCCAGTGGACCCCTCTTCTGAAAGGCGATTGCCTCTCACTCAATTGCACCATAGATTCTGGACTCCACTCTGCTCTGCTCCCCGAATCAGTTAGGAGAGCCCTTTGCCAGCGATCTGGAGGACAGAAGAGACTATGTACTATGATACTAAGAGCAATCTCATCTTTGGGGAAAAGGGTAGGTGAGGCGTCCATTGGAACATGTCACCAGTGGCCACCGGAATAATAAAATAAACACCCAGGCTTGAGTCTAGTCCAGGCCAGACAGATAGCACCAATACAAGGCATCTCCGTGGAGAAACTGAGGGTGACATACCTGGGGACTAGGAGATAACATTTTTACCAAGGGCCAGCTGACACTTAACTGGCCAGAGAATGACTTATTACGTAACTTTTGCCTTTTGTAGTTCTACATAACAGAGCCAGCACAATAGACCTATGGCAAGATATAACTTAGCCCATCTGGGGGCTGCCAGAGACCAACATAAAGGCACAACTCAACTGGCAAGGTGGGAGAGCCACATCACAAAGAATGTGAAGCCTCACCAAGGATACTGACTATGTGGAAGGGCAGTGAGTCCAGCCTACAAACAACCAGTTTCTCCCTGCAAGATCACTGCTGGTAGGTGGGACACAGACCAGACAATGCAGAAACAAGAACAGAGAGCTGCGCAGGAAGCACGGAGGCAGAGAAGGTAGTAAGAAAAATAAATCCCAGCACTCAGGACACAGAAGCAGGAGGATCTGCGAGTTCTAGGCCAGCCTGGTGTACATAGCAAGTTCCAGGACAGCCAGGAATATAGAATAAGATGGAAGTCAAGCATCCTTTCCCCAAAGTGCTGAGGACCAGACATGCTACAGGTTTCAATTCCTTTCCAGTTTTAGAGTATTTGCATGGACTTTAGAGGTCACATCCCTCATCAGAAATCCAAAAGGCAGATTCTGGAGCATTTTGAGATTTGAAAGAGGTGAGGGATACACAACTTGAATTTCAGGAACAATGAAGCAATAAGCAATGTGTGGTGGTCCACATCTGCAATCCCAGCACTTAGGAGAGGGAGGCAGAGCCTTAGCAGTTCACACAGTGAGAGTGAGGCCAGCCAGGCGAGGGAGGGAGGGAGGGAGGGAGGGAGGGAGGGAGGGAGGGAGGGAGGGAGGGAGAGA